AAAAGAATGGCCCCAGAGAAGGGGGTTGGGAGAGGGAAGAGTCTGCTGTGGGTGGGGGTGGGTCTCGGGCTCGTGGGAAAGAGAGGAGATGACGGAGACACAGCGAAGCCAAGCGACCAGGCGTCCCCCGCCCAGCCCAGCCCAGCCCAGCCCAGCCCGCTGCCTGCCCTCCCAGCCCGGGCGCCGTCTTGGGGGCCTTTCGTTAAAGCCTCTGCAGCTTCCCGAGATCCCTCAACCGGCACTAACCCCCCGAGAGCCTTCCTAGCGCCTGAGGACGTCCCGAGGTTCCCTAAACAACCGAAGCGCCGGAGGTTAGAGGCGAACATTTTAGGACTGAATTGCTTCTGACCATAAGGTTATTGACATCGCAACGGACAAGCACTCAGCCTCAGGTGGCCGTCCTTCACGGCCTAACCCTGCGTGTCCAGGGACGTGTGTGACACGCGTGCACACTCCACGCCCGCACGCCCCCCCCCTCTCGTGCCCGCCCCGCGCTGTGGGCCAGGCGGGAAGCATCGCTCCCACTGAAGAGACGAGCTCAGGGTCACATTCAGTAAAAGATTCAGGGTTGGAAGTGGGACCCAGGCCCCGGGGATGGGCCCCCGCTCGTCCCCGAGAGGAAGCTGTCCCCCCGCTGTGGCTTCACGCGCGTTTCCATGGTAATGAGGACAGTAGAGAAAACCGGCGGCTCTGTGTGCGCCTCGCTTGTCTTCTCTAGTCCGTGTGTAGACTTTTAAAGGGAGACTCGCATTATGGTACTTAATAGGGCTTCGTGTAGTGGAGAATGGGTCCTCGGTGAGCACCGGTTGCGTGGGTAAATGGCCATTTAAACGCTAATCAGCAGCACTTATCTCTAAGCCCCGTTCATTTATTTTTTACGGAAAAATACAACACCTGAGTGTTTACATTTTAAAGGAGCACAAACCACCTTCTCACCCCTGGTCCCCCACCTTGGGCCTGGCCGCACATCGGCATCTGTTACACTCTTCTTCTTATTGTGTTTAACACCTAGTCTCCCGCTTCCGCGGGCCCTCAGCACCTTTCTGCTGTGGAAACACGCCTGAGCCTCTGCGGGACGCTAGACGATCATCTCAGGGACTGTCCCCATTTCCCAGGCTAGAGGAGCGGGCACACAGAAAGCAGCCTCCCCGGGCGGAGGGACGGTGGGCGGGGAGACGGCGCCAGGCCCACCCATGCCCTCTCCCTGCCCAGACAGGTGACCTTCACCCTCGCCTGACCTTCTCTCCCGCTCTCGCCCGCCTTAACGACCTGAGTGTCCTTGAATGTTCTAGTGCCACTGAACTGTGCCCTGAAAAATGGGTCAGGTCCTGAGCTTTCTCTTGTAAAAAATAAAAGACAATCGAATAAAATTTAGAATTTAAAAAATGACCCGTCCCCTGGTGGGTTCCCTTCACGCGCCGTTCCCTGGAGTCCGACGGCTGAATGTGGCGTCCTACACGCTCAGCTACTCGCTGGACTGCTCGCCTTGGTGCAGCGACTGTTTTTCCAGGGGTCGTGCTAATAAGCCGTGTTTCCAAAGCAAGAGGGCGCCTTCGCTGATCTATTCCTAAACGTCCCTGCCTTCCTAAGTGAGGAAAGCGCCTGCAACGACACCGCCGTCCCTGAGTGAGTCCCGCCGCCTGGGCCACCCTCCCCTCCATTCTCCACTTTAAACGATCTGCGGGGGGGTCAGGCGCGCCCCCGAGAAGCACCGCGCTCAGGAGGAAAAGGCGGCCGCTCCCCGAGTCCGGCCACAGCGCCACGCTGGCCCTGTCATGGCTAAATCAGGCTCGCGCTCTCGCACCCACGACCACAGCCAGCCTGGAAGCGCTTATTGGATACACATCATGAAAGCAGCTTTTCAACAAGATTTCACGTCCTGTGCTGGTTACGAGGCACGAAGGACCGGTCAGCCCTGCCCGGTGTGGCTCGGTGGTTAGTGCCGGCCCTCGGGCTGAAGGGTCCTGCGTGCGAGTCTCAGTCAGGGCTCGCTCCTCCACTGCAAGCTCGGTCCCGGCCCAGGTCAGGGCGCATGCGGAGGCAACCCGTCCATGTGTCTCCCTCACACTGATGTTTCTCTCTCAGTCTCCCTCCCTCCCTTCCACTCTCTTGAAAAAAATCAATGGAAAAAATATCCTTGGGTAAGAATTCCCAAAAATACAAAACAAAACAAATAACACAAAAAAGGAGCAACCAATACTCCAGGTTAAAATAATTTACAAAAGACAAAAAAAACAAAAACAACCTCAAAATGTCAAGGGTCACTAATATCTTAGAAACTTCCCCAGATTTCAGGAGGGAGGGGCTTGAAGGTCATGCTCCCTCCAGTGGGATAGGAGTGGGCTCCTAGCGGAACTGTGGGGTGTCAGTGGCCAGAGGCTCCCCTGGGCCCTGGCGGGGGGCGGCCCCCCCGGGCCGGGGCAGGCCTGGCTCCCGCATGCTGTGGCGCTTACCTGGGTACAGCGTGCCTGGAAGGCCCATGGTTTGCAAGTAGTTGTGGCAACGCTCTTTATGTTCCTCTAAAGAGCTTCGCTGTTTATAGCTTCGGCCACAATATCCACATTTGTGAGGTTTACCAACTGCAGGAGACAGAATTGAGTTCGAGACCCCCGTTAAACTCCGGCCTTACGGGAAGGGGGGATGCATGCAATACAGTCATTACCAAAGAGCCAAAAACTCTGCTCCTGAGAGCTCAAAGCGTCAGGGACTGGTCAGAACTGCTAACTTTAACGATGGTAACGCCGAGGGGTTTTCTCGATTCCCCAAGAAGCCCTGCGAGTTCTGTTCCATGTCAATCCGTCCACTCCACCGACCACCGATCTCTCCTGCTAAAATCACTGACATCCGTCCTTAAACTGGCGGGAACGCACCTCCAAGGAGTTACAATGAGGACAGGTCCCCTGGGCAGAGGCGGGAGGAAGGTGGCCTGTTGGCTGAGTGATCTACAGATTCACCTCCTCAGTTGGACTCTGGTCCCCATCTGCACCGGGGCTGGATCTAATGCAACCAAAGTAAATTCCTTTCCAGGGTATAAACTGGATAATTTGAGGTCTCTAAGAAACCATAAAGATCAGTATCTTTAGCCCGGACGACGTGGCTCAGAGCATGAGCATCGACCTAGGATTCAGGAGATCGAGGTTCGATTCCTGGTCAGGGCACATGCCCGGGTTGTGGGCTCGATCCCCAGCTGGGGGCCTGCAGGAGGCAGCCGATCAGTGACTCTCATCATTGATGTTTCTCTCTCTCTCCCTCTCCCTTCCTCTCTCTGAAACCAATAAAAACACATAGAAAAAAATCAATATCTTTAATGAAAGGAGCATTTATTTTCCAAAATGCGTTCTCTTGCTCTAACTTAGACAAGTTATTTTTTTCTCCCAAAGAGCCATAGGACGGCGTGGGCTCCAGAGGGGCGTGTTCTCTGCCTGCGCGCTCAATATGGGGGCCGCCGGCCATCTGAGGCTCCTGAGCATCTGAGGTTGACTAGTGTCACAAGAACTGAAGTTTTCATTTTGTTTAGCTTTAATTGATTAAAATTAAAATGTAAATACCACATATGGCTGGCGGCCAATTCTATACAGTGAGTTTAGTGCTTCCTAAATTTTATTGGGTATTATTGTAGGAAATGAAACTAGGATTCACATCATGCCTAAGTTTCCAGACTTTAATACCCAGCACTTTAAGAGATGAAACGGACAAAGTTTCTTCAATTGCTTCTTAAAGAATCCACATTTCCTTCTAAGGTCAGAATAGTCTTCTTCCTTCCTTCTCGTAATGTTAGATTTCACTTACTTGAAAGTATTATGTAAAAGTCAATACCACCTAACTAGGAATGTTGGGTGAAATGGGTCAAGCAAAGCTTGTATTGGTTAAGTCTCTTCCTTAGGTGGATGGAATCTATGGTTAAAGGAAACAGAGACAAAAAACAAAATCGGAGCCCTGGAACATTCCACACAGGAAGAAAGCGTCTTCATTTGTAGAAGGTGTTGTTTCCCTACCAACGTTGAAATGTACGATGTTGCCTAAAACATAGTTTTACAGAATATAGATAACCCTGCAAGGTCCTTTCCTGAAAAAGCTGTAACTTCTTAGCAAATTCCTATATCTAGGGCACGGTGTCTGAAGGTCCATTTTTCTGAGTATGTGACTGATTTGGACTCTGGAAACTAAGAAAGACATTTACTGTGACAACAGAGCTAAGGCAGGTCTTGAAGCGTAGCCCAACATTCTTCAGGAAAGAAAGTCCGGCTAAACTTCCAAAGAAAGCGGTAAAGAAGGAATGGGTCCCTCCCCTGCCTGCCCGACTACCTGAGCCCCTCTGGTTGTCAGCGAGGGGCAATTCTACAGTGACCTCACCACAGAGGGGTTGGTCTCTGGAGCCTCAGGCCACTGGCAGTTGCTAGGAAAGCTGGGAGCCGGATTGCATTTTTGGCAGAATGGAGGAGCGGCCATTTCCCAATGAACAGAATGGGGCCACCTTTGAGTTTGCAGACACAGGCTCAAGTCTTCATGTATTTCTAGTGAAATCATCTTGTAGAACCTGAATCATTTCTTCCAAGAGCCGTGTATTAGCGGCACCTTCCTTTACCCATCAGAGTCATTAGGTGCTTCCTCATGACAAGATTGTTGACTTGCTCATCGGTGGACCCACAATAGGAGTAACCTGTCCAAAACCTGCCTCTGTCACAGAGAATTACTCAAGAACTTAGAGCAGGACACAGCCAGGCCTCCAAGGAAGCAAACAGGCATGGAGCCAGAGTCATCTAAAATACTGAGTCAGGTGTTCCTAACGTCACAGCAGGAAAGGAAAGAGAGCAGTTTCATCCTAAGCTTTCAGGACTGATGAATATGCAGGAGAGATTCCTCCTGCAAATCAGCATAATCCGGGGATGACCATGAGCTGAGGACAGGCCCACGTGGGAAGCTATGCTCCCTACAACCTCGTGCTGGATTGCTGTCACCCATGCTGATGTCTGCTTGACACCTTATAAATGACATCTGCCAAGTTTCTCTGTCCTCCATCACCTGGGAGGCACTGCACACAGGCTGCATAATCATCACATCTGAAGCCTGCATGGAACCTGCTTGTCACTTAGTCCCCGCACACCTTCACCTCCACCTGACACATGCCTCTCATTACAGACGCATGGAAACATTTAAAAATGCCCACTGTCACACTGTCACCATCCCACTTTGGAGAGGCCCCTGTTCTCCCTGTCACCTGCAGCAATACCCTCCCCAGCCTTCAGCCATCCCCATCCCAGATGGGTGGGGGTGGCCTTGGCCCCACTGTCACTGGGGCTGATCTGTCCCCTCAAGGGGAGGAGCAACTCCCTGGCTTTGTGTGGCTCCTTTCTTGGAAGATTTTAAGACTCTCCCCCCAATAGTCACAAGTTAATAATGAAGAGTGTTTTGGGAGCCTCCTCCATGTTGAGAACCAGGAAGGAGGTCAGGATGGAGAGGGGACGGCCTGGCTGAGCACTAGGGTACCAGGACCTGGCTCCCCCTTGCTCCTGGATGAACTCCGCAGGTTCCACTCACAGGAGAATAACAAGTTTCCACCACACTTGCTAACATGCACCCTGCACCCCTTTCTGGGGTCACTTACAGAACTGTGTATCCAGGTGGAACATCTCTGAAGGTGAACCTCAGAAATGCATCTTTCTGCTGGGACTCAAGCCCTTTTCTACTGGAGTCTCCCCTGATGCCCCCCACCCTGGAGACCAACCCTCTTCTCCTCGTGCTCCCTCCCCCCCCGTGTCACAGCACTGGGAACACGCTGGTGCTTTGCTACTTTGTACCTGTATCCTCCACTGTGAAAGGGGGCCCTTGGGGTGCTCAGTACATGGGTGACAAAGAAATGGACATAGCAATGGACACAGAATCCCTACACTAACTAGGCTGGTAACATTTGGGAAGGAGGTGGCTTGAGCCCAGGAAAACTTTCCCAAGGACCCAGCACCCCTGCTTTGTGGGGAGGCACCTCTGATGGGTGCTGCCCTGGGGATGTCAGGAAGGAGCTGGTCTGAAGCTTCTGTCTCCCAGCACCCTGCTCGAGAGGAGTCCTTGAAACATCATGGTTTTGATGGACAGCTCCAGGAGGGCAGGGGCGAGGGCCTGTCACCTCCTGTCCCCAGAGCCTTCCTAGGGCTCAGGCACACCATGCAGGCCCCACACTGTCCTCCTCTGACCTGTAAGATTATGGGGCCACCCGATAATGAAAAATAGCAAGAAATACCCCTTAGGAGGCAGAATATCTGATCTGATCTAATCTTGTGCTTCACGGTGGGGAGAGCTGAGGACTTGGCGCTTCCTGGTCACTGTGACCCAGCTGGCCCTCCGATTACCTAGGATGTGTTTACTGAAATCTGGTAACTGGCCTCTCAAGTGAGACATGACCAGCTCCTGGTGTGAGAGCTACACTCGGGCCCAGGGGGGGCAGCGTGGCTTCAGGTGACAGGTGTCCGCCCAATCAGGAAGGTCCGGGTGAGGTGTCATCTATCACCTGTGCAATGACGCTACTGAAATCCTGAAACCCTCTGTAGCCCAGGAGCATGTGCGGCTCAACAAGGAACACAAAGGCATATATTTGGGAGCTTTGTGGGCATTAGCAGGACCCCCAATGAAAGCAGAGCTGGGAACTCCTTTAAAGAGACCCACTTACCTGACAAAAGTGGATGGGGGGCCTTTTCTGAAACACTTTCCCTAAGGTGGGACTCCCTGTGAGATTTCCCCACCCACTGCCTCTGGCTCATGGAGAGATCACAGGATGGCGGGGACACTGATGCCACCGTGACCAGGGTGGCCAGTGCCCGCCGGAGGGCTGCACCTGGGGACTCGGCCACCCCGCGGGGAGGGCTCCCTCGCCCACACACAGCTCCGGCGGTCTCTGGATCCCGGATCCCGGGGCCCCAGCCTCGCCCGGAGGACCTACCGGAATGCGTCCGCAGGTGGCCGGTGAGCGCGTCCCTCCGGCGGCAGGCGTAGTTGCAGAGGTGGCATTTGAAGGGCTTCTCCCCCGAGTGCAGCTTGATGTGTCTGAGCAGGTTGCCCTTCTGGGTGAAGGAGGCCCCGCACTGGTTGCACTGGAAGGGACGCTCACCTGGAGGGAGACAGGGGTGGTGAGCGAGACCCCGGCCGGGACGAGAGCGGGACACGGACAAGAAAGTTGTCTCCCGCAGGGTGGCGACTCCCACCGGCTGCAGGTCTGATAGAACACACGGCTTTCAGACGAAACCTGCCAGGCTCCTCAACGCTTCACTGGTTGGGTCAATTTGATCTGAAAATCTAATTTTTTCTCCCTAAATCAGAGCGGCACATCACAATGCAAATTCAGACTCATTTAAATAAAGTGACTGCAACGCTCTGTGATGAGGAGCCAGTCTTCCTGATCAGCAGTTTTGGAATAAACCAATATCCAATTTTGCGTGTTGTGGCATTTGGTGGGGCTTTTTTTTTTAATGTGGCTTTTTTCAAAAGGGTCTTTAAAATACGCCACTGGAGCAGCAAATAAAAAGGAAACTCATTAAAAATGCATTTCAGGATCACGAGTTCATTTCAGCGTTACATTCTTATATTCAAATGAAAGGCAGTTCATTATAACAGTTATAATAACTTCTTTTCATTTACATCTCCCCGTATTTCCCTTTCAATTTCTTCTCCATTACCTGTCTGTCCCCACGCGGGCAGATCAGGGAAGAGACAGACAGAGAGCGCGTGAGGGGACAGGCGGAGGAGAAACGCCGAGCAAAGCGAGGAGGGAAGACTCGCGAGGAAACTCCGCGGCGTGCAAAGCGTCCCGCGTCCCCCCGTGTCCCGCCGGCGCCTGGCGCGGCATCCCGCACGCATCCCCAAACCTTCCTGCTGCGGTGGGCAAACGTCCGCGGACGACGGGCGATGTTTTCACGGCACACACAGGGTGTCCCCCGGAAATGCACACGCACCGTGACAGCCGGCGGCTCCGTTTGGAAAATGGGATGTATTTTAATAAACGCGGCCTTTATAACTGTTCAGAGCGTGTGTACATTTTCTTGGGGGGGACACCCTGATTCTAAGGTGTGGGTTAGTTGTCCCTAGGATCTCTCTCCTGGGCGGCGCCGAGGGGCTGGCGGCCAAGGGCCCACTCGGCCTCGTGTGGGGCAGAGCTCGTGCCCATAGTCTGGACCCAATAGGGGGACGAACGGGCCCCTGTGGAAACTACGCCGTGGCGCAGTCAGGGTCTTGGATCTAAGCGGGTGAACGTGCTGTTTAACGCTCACGGTCCAGAGCGAGGCATTGGTCTCGTTCAGGGAAACACTACCTCTCTCAAAAATGATGCTTTTTTTAAAAAGAAGACTCGCTCTGTGTGACCACCGTGCCCGGCGCTGAGCTACCATGAAAATGCGCTTCCTAGGAACGATGTTTTTTTCTTAGGAAAACAGAACCTGCGAAGATGCACATTTAACGACCTTCCCAGCTGATCCTCATGGCTTTGCAAACAAAACGTCACTTATCCAAAGTGACGGCGTAGAAGGGAGCAGGCTCTCTGGTTCAGCAACACCTACAGCCGTTTGAGTGAAAGGACCGCGTGGGCACCGCGGCTGCACCCGTCACCCTTTTCATTTTTAAGGAGGCAGGAGGGAGGCGCTGCTATAAAAATGGAAGTGAATTCACAAGGATATTCGGCGACAGGCCGCCTGGGGGGACCCTGATACTAACTGGCATACAGTCGGCATTTGCCCAAATCCGTCCGGACTGGACCCGGCCGAGCGGAGAAGGGGGTCACGCCGAGCCGGGGGAGCCCAGGGTAGACCACCTGTAGCTGCCCAAGAGGAGAGTCAACGGCTGGTGGCCAGGCCGCCCGGAGGAGCACCCGACAGACAGAGACCAGCCCTCTGTTAGGGACCCCCGGGCCCTGTGTGCTGCGCAGCCCTGCCTCACTCCCGCGGGCAAGCTCTCCTGGACACCTGCCTCTCTCCCATGGCCTGTGCTAGCCTGACCATGTGACACGGGTCCGGGAAGCTGGGGGGGAGCATTCCCTGGGGTGACAACAGGGAGGCGGGCTCACGGCCACTTCCCCTCACAGGCGTCAGCGCGGAAGGGGCCAGGCCCTGGAGTTGGGCTCAGGACAGGGACCGCGAATCTGTGGGCTCCCCTGCTGGCCAAGGTCCCCCACTCGCCTCCTGCAGGGCCCAGGCTTGCCGATTACAGCTGGGTGAAGTCAGGCTTCTCCAAGGTGGCGTTTCCTTATTGAACTGGGAAGAAGACTTTACTATCCTTAATTCAAAATTGAGTTTAAATCCCAGTGACTCTACCAGGGCAGCCAGCCAGTCTGTGCACCTGTGTCCTTGGTCAGGGGCAGGGGCAGGGGCAGATCCTGGCCTCTGGGGGACATTAGCTAGCTTGGTTGCACCTAGGCTCCCAGAGGAAGGGCTCCCCGAAATGTCCCACCTACAGTCTGCTCCTCAACTGCCGTCCACCCACGCTCAGGGTCCCGCCCAGCACCCAGGCCCCCTCTGCACTGACCCAGCTCTGCATTTTCACAGGATGCCCGAGCGACTCCTACGGCCTCCAGGTTGGAGAAGCAGGACTCTGGGAAGGTGTAAACTTGGGGAATTCAGGTGGGGCTGGTGGTCAGCAAAACGGCCTTTTCTAGCATGTTCGACTCGGACCCCAGGAGCGTGGGAGCCTTCCCAGCCTGTCCGGTTAGTCACACCTACGATGCCAATGTCCTTCCGCCTCTACGTGGACCCTCCCGTTCAGGCCAGTGGAAACCATTATGGAGACAGTCCACGAGTTCCCTGTTTTTTGTTTTTTTTTAAAGGCAAGGCAAGGACCATAAAGTGGCTGCTAGTATGTCCCATTCCTGGAATTCCTCGCTCTGTGTGGGTGGCACTCGGCCCTTAGCTGCCACCCCGGGGGAGAGGTGGGCAGCAAGCAGGCCCTGCTGCTGTGCGTCTCCATCCTTGGCAGGTTTCCTTAGATGCAATTACTGTTTTATCGGGGCAGAAGCCGTTATATTTTGGCCATTCGGTGCCAGGATTTGATGCGTGTATCAGATATTTATCTAAGAGAATGTGCACCGTAGGGTCAGGCCTCACGCAAGTCAGCAGGGGAGTAGCTCCTCTGTGAGGGGCCTCCTGCATCGGGGACGTGTCTCCGAGTGTCCATCACATGGTGGCCACCTTCACCTTCACCTCCCTCTCGTTACAGCGGACGGGGGGACGGGGCTGACAACTGTCCCGCGGGTGTCGCCCACGCCCGGGAGTGATGGGCCTGTCGCTGGGTAATTTCAGGAGCAAGGGGCCCGCCAGGAAAAGCAAAGTTTGCTCAATTTTAGAAAATGAATTTGTACAGAAAATGAATGTACTGAAAAAAAGAAAACATTTTCCCAGAGGAACTGCACACGGGAGACATCGTTTCAGAAACTGCCCTGAACTCTTAGGGGAAGACTGACTACGTGTTGCTGGAATTCCATCTCTGGGCTGGTGTTTCTAGGAACCCAGCCCTTTCCACTCGAATTTAAAGCATGAATATGAAGGTTTGGCCTCACTGTCTAAGGGTGAACCACCTGCACCTCCACCTAACAGCACCTCTGCCCTGCTGAGCGGGCGCGACCCCCCGCGGCACCTCCGCCTGAGCCGTTAGCGTCTCTGCGCAGGCTCGAGCCCCTAGGGTCGGACTGGCCCCGCCGGAAGTCCTTCCCCACGTTGTTCCAGGGGTGGGACTCGCGCCCGCCCAACATGGAGCCCCCGAAACCCTCGGGGCAGCAGCTGGGTCAGGGGCGGCCCGCCCTGCTGCCCCGGGGCCTCTCCCAGGCCCCTCGGGCGGCGCTGCCCCCGGCCTTACCCGTGTGGCTCCTCTTGTGGACCATGAGCACATTGGGGCCGATGCAAATGATGCCACAGACATCACACTTTAGTTTGCCGTTAGGAAGTCGGATGCCGCCAGCTCCCGACAGAGCTCTGCCGCCTTGGCCACCGTGGGAGCCATTCGTGTCCTCTCCCGCGGCACCGAGCGCGCGCAAGTCCTGGGCACAAGCGTCCCCATTCCTGTCACAGGCATGTCCCTTCTCTTCGTCACTCTGAGCCTCTACTTTAACATTACCGGCTGAAAGACACAACACAGGGGCCGCTCAGTGTCATCGCAGAAACAGGGCGGAGCAACACAGCAGAGAGCGGGCCCAGGGCTCCCGCCTGGGGGCCGAGCAGCTGCTACCACGGGGATGGCGGGNCCTCCGCAGGTCCGGGTGGTGGTGCCTGCGAAGGCCTGGGGAAGGTAGTCCCGCCTCTTGCTCTAAGGCCACGGACCCGCAGGGACAGCCTGTGGCACCTCTGGAGCACCCGAGGCCTGGCCTGCACCAGCTCCTCCGGGGGAGCCCCATCCACCAGAGTATGGACCCCATCAGCTGTGTCCCCGGGGTTGCGACCTTGTTGGGCAAAATCCCTCCTTAGTGGTTATGGGGCCTGAGAAGCCTCGGTCCCTCCAGGCTGCCTTCCTGTCTGCTGCGTAAGTAACGGAACGAAGCTCGGCCACCTGTGCCCGGCCGCTGAGCAGGCTCCCGACAGGTGTCTGCTTCTTCGGTACCTGACGTCCCCTCTTTGCGTGTTAGTCCCCGCAAACCGAGGACAGTTCTCTACTGACTTTAAGCAGGAGGGAGGTCTGTTCAGAGCCAGGGCAGGCAAGGCCCCGGGGGAGGGATCCCGGGTCCTGCCCTCTTCTAGGTTCCCGGAAAAATGCAGGCAAAGCCCTGGGTCTCTGGGGCGAAGACGGAGCCGTCCACAGCGGGCACCGGCCAGGCTCCGCAGAAGCCAACGCCACGCACGTTTCTATCGGAAAGCGGTTCCTGGACCGTCACGATAGCGCGAGTCTAGGCCCCGGGAGCTTGGAGGGCTCCCTCTTTTAAGTGAAAACAATGGAAACAGAGAAATCCCCGCCACACCGGTGACTCACCAGGAGAGAGCAAAGGGAACGGAAATGTTTACGGTGTCTCTGGAATGAGGGCAAGTGAATGAACATGTGCGAGGAGGGGACCCGTAGGTGTCTCTGTGCTGCCTCGGAGAGAGGTTTGCGAAAACGTTTAAGCAGTTTACAGGTTAATAAAACCATTTCTTATCACTTACGCCATTTTAAATGTAGGCTTTTTTCTTTCTCTCGTCAAGATGCAAGATTAGGAATATTTTAATCCTTACTTAATGTTTAGGCTTTTAAATGGAATGAAGTCAGCCCTGGCTGGTTCAGCTCAGTGGTTAGAGTGTTGGCCTGGGGACTGAAGGGGCCCGGGTTCGATTCTGGCCAAGGGCATGTACCTGGGTTGCAGGCTCGGTCCCCAGCCCCGGTCGGGGCGCGTGCGGGAGGCAGCCGATCTGTGTCTCTCTCTCCCATCGATGTTTCTCTCTCACTCCCTTCCACTCTCTCTGAAAAAAAGTGATGGAAAAAATATCCTCAGGCGAGGGTTAAAAACAATTTTTTAAAAATTAAATGGAACGAAGTCAGGGAGAGAGAAAAGAGGAAGCCTATGAAGAGACAAGTTACAAACAGAGTCACATTTCCTCGGGTAGCGAGGGACACGCACCAGCACAGAGAAGGTCAGGGGGTTATGTTTTTAACTTTTAAGGGGAAAAAAAAGGCGCTGAGGGAAGGGGACAAGTCTCCCCAATGACCACTAGGTGGCGACGTTGGCCCAGGACAGTTTGGTTGCTGTTTGGTGGGCAGGTCATCAGTCAACAGCCACTGGCCCACCCGCGTGGCTCAGCGGGGGAGTGTTGACCCCTGAAGCAGGGATTGCGGTTCGATTCCCGGTCAGGGCATGTGCCCGGGTTGCGGGCTCGATCCCCAGCAGGGGGCGTGCAGGAGGCAGCCGGTCCATGACTCTCATCATTGATGTTTCTATCCCCCCTCTCTTCCTCTCTCTGAAATCAATAAAAACATATATATATTTTTTAAGTCAACAGCCCCTGTGCCAGGGGGATATTTATAATTTGGGTGCATGGGGGAGGGGAGAAAGAGAGAGAGAAATACTAATACCTGTGAGCCCAATTGTTTAGTATATACAGGCAGTGCATCCAAACACACACCATCTACCTTATTAAAGCTCCAGTGTCCTAGATTCCATTTATTTTCAGGCATTTCTTATATACTGAAACATTCACCAAAGGACCTGCTTCAACACTGCCACATGCTTGAGCCTCCACGTCCTCAAGTCAGTGACACGTGTCTTAGGTTGTATTGCCTTACCCTGGAGTGCACCTGACTTCTTAACATTTCAACAGTGTGACTGTTCACCTCAAAATTCATATTAGTTCTCCGTCCCAGTACCGCAATGTCTCATATAATCAAATAAGCCCACGTACACATGTGCACACATATACAAACATTTACATGCCTGCATACATACATACACGTCACACAGAAATAAAAATCAAACTAGTGGTTAAAAGGTGAGTCCAAGGAGCATTAGCAGGAGAAAGGTCTCTGGAGCCGAGTAAGTGGGAAAGGCAGCCAGCCCAGGTTGCGGGAAAGGGTCTGACTTGGAGCGACACTGATAAATCCTTTAGATCCCCGGCGGTTTCTGATACCCAGGATGTGGGAGACCCGCCTCCCCGTTCCCGATGGCACCTAGATCAGAGCCCGCAGGACGCCTGTGGCGGGTTCACAGGCGCTGTCTTCAACCCACTGACCCAGGCTCTGGTTAAGTCCTAAGGGGTAACCTGCTTGTATCACTTCGAATATTCGACTGTCGGTATGTTTTCAAAAAGCAATCTCCACTCCTTGAAATACACCTTCAAGGATGCTGCTCAGCTACACTCACGATCTCTCCTCTCCCGAGGCCTAAAACTGAAAGACGAGATTAACATCTGCTCTGGGCTTAACAGCTCAGACCGGGAGTGGCCGCGGTGCCCCACGAGCGCTGCGAAGGCCTGCGGCCCGCGACGCCTCTCGGTTGTGAAATGAACACTGCGGAGCAACGGAAGGGCAGGGCGGGCCTTCTCCTGTCCTGCAGGGTTGGAGGACGACCCTGAAAACAGGCTGGGCTGTTCAACGGTGACAGAAAGCCCGGCCATGTCATCAGCTGCTCACTAAAAAGGAGACAACCACACGCTAATAACAAAACTGGTAACGGCAAAGGCACAGGAACAGCTCCATTCACGCTGCTGTTTCTTCTGCCCTTTGTTACTCCCGTAACCACAGAGGGTTGCTTAATAGCACATCTTTGGACATCTGACATGTCACGTATGCCCAGCCGGGGCGGCTCAGTCGGCTGAGAGCATCCATGCACCGCGAGGTTGCCACTTTGACTCCCGGTCAGGGCACACGCCTGGGTTGTGGGCTCCATCCCTAGTAGGGGGCGTGCAGGAGGCAGCCGATCAATGTTTCTCTCTCTCTCTCTCTCCCTCTCCCTTTCTTTCTCTCTAAAAAAAAAAAAAAAAAAATCAATAAAAGCATTTCAAAAATATTAATAAAATGTCACCTATGTCCTTTATCAAAAAAATGATGTTGCTGATGGGAGCCATTTCATGAACAGAACGGCCAATGTTTAATTGATCTCATGTCGTCAAGCATGGAAAAAGGTGATGAAAACACACACAATATTCACACGATGGAAACAGAGAGTGAAATGGACACACATTTCCATTTTTCAGAAGCAAAGCATATACTTACGAGAGAAAGAATTGGGAATTATTGCATGAAAATCCCTAAAGCCATCAGCCCCATAGGAAACTGCAACAAAAAAGCACAGAGAGAGAAAGCAGGTTGATACCGTTTCAGAGATGCAGGAAGAGTTTACAAGAAAACATCACTTTTTAAAAAAGAAAGTGGTATTGCTCAAAGCCATTACTTAGCTCCAGACGGGCTACTGTTTGCTCTCAGACAGTGAAAAGGTGGCCGCAGTTACTCAGGAACGGGGCCGCTGCTCCCGGAGGCCCGAGCTCGCGATGTGTGTCACACAGGAGCAGTGGGGAGCAGCCTCCGGTGTGTGACCTCGTGGGGGTTTCTACCCTAAACCATTCAAATGGCGAGTGACCTGAGCTGTACACACAGGCCCGGGAAGCGGGCACCTTAGCCAGGCTTCTGCTGGGAGATGCTCGTTTCACAAAGGCAGGTGCTCATGATGGGCGGGTTGCATGCGAGTGATCTTCACTCAGCTTGTGCCCAGAAAAGTAGAAAACATTCATGCCCACACCAAGTGGGGAAGAAAGAGCATTGTCCCTACTTCAAAGAGAGCTACTGAATTTATGTGGGTCTTATCATAAATGCGATCACCACCTTAAATCTTCCAATTATCATTTTTTTATAGGTCAGAGCTTCCTAGGGAGTGCCTGTGTCTTAAGACTTAGTAGCTACCACACATGCACACACATGCACATAGTTTCTCTCCAGGAGGGCCACCCCGGTGACCCTCAGGCACGTCTACACAGATGCACACACTGGTACACATGCACACACACACAGACATAGGCACATGAGTGCATGCACACACTCACAGTGTCTCTCCACGAGGGCTACCTCGGTGACCCTCAGGTACCTGCACAAGTGGCTGCTAAATTAAACTCATTCGATGGGCCCCTGAGTCAGCAGACTAAGATGGTGCCATCCTGCGGGAAGCAGACCTACAGAACTTTGTTTAAACCAATGTTTTCCAAACGGATCTAACCACAGATGCCCTTTTTCCCACAAAAAGTCTATTAAACTATCAGGATACCAAGCAAACCCAAATTGGGAGACGAGTCCAAAGCTGTTGCTTGAACCAATGGGCTTAGTACTTTCCTAGCAAATGTCTAGCCTTCCTCTCCTTGTCCTGCTCCCTGGTCGCCCAAATCCAACAAAGAGAGTCACTGTCACAGATGTGGTCAGACAGAGCTGATACCACTTGGTCTGCCAGGTGTGTATGTGCTCATGGGCCTCCAGGCAGTTGTCAGTCCAATGCTGGCTCCCAGAGGCCTTTGCAATCGGTCATCTTCACTGAGCTCTGACCCTTCATATCAACTTCCTGAACCTCGGTCATTTCGTGTCCTAGAGGCACAGCCACCTCAAATGATGGGGGAAATAGCAAAGATGTTTTAAGGTAGGTATTACCTTTTTAAAACGGGGACATTGCAATATGTGAT